CCCCAAACCCTAAACCCCAAGCCCCCAACCCTAAACCCCAAGCCCCCAACCCAGGGTTCAGGCCTGGGGCTTGGGCCTTCTTTGAAAGCCTCTGAGCCCCTTTCTTCTTGAGTCCTCATGACTTCGAAACCCAAACCGCGAGGCCGCATGCTCGAACTCAGAAAGCCTCGGCCGTAAACCGGGTTTAGGGTTTAGGGGTTTAGGGGTTTAGGGGTTTAGGGTTTAGGGTTTAGGGTTTAGGGGTTTAGGGTTTAGGGGTTTAGGGCCTCCGGAAAGGGACTCAATTTCATGAATCCTAAACCCGTTTCATCCCAACCACATGGTGCGAAGGCCCTGCCTTCCACACTTTGGATCCCAGAGCACAAACAACCCCTAAACCCTAAACCCTAAACCGGTGGCCCAAAAGACTTACCATCTAAAGGAACTGTATATAGACACCATGATAAGAGCCCTGAGGTAGGTTTGTTTGGCTTCAGGTAATCCCTAAACCCTAAACCCCCTAAACCCTAAACCCCAAGCCCTGAACCCTAAACCCCCTAAACCCTAAACCCTAAACCCCAAGCCCCGAGCCCTAAACCCTAAACCCCAAGCCCTGAGCCCTAAACCCTAAACCCTAAACCCCAAGTCCTGAGCCCTAGGCCCTAAACCCTAAGCCCTGAGCCCTAGGCCTTAAACCCTAAACCCTTCCGAGGCCCTGAAGGGCATTGCCGACAAGATCCCGTGCCGGGCTCGGCAAGCGCCCGAGCTGGGTCGTCTCTTCGTCGCGGAGCCTTGCAGCTTAGGGTTTAGGGCCTAGGGGTTTAGGGAAAAGGGCGTAGGGGTTTAGGGCTTAGGGGTTTAGGGGTTAGGGGGTTTAGGGCTTGGGGCGTAGGGGTTTAGGGCTTAGGGGTTTAGGGGTTAGGGGTTCAGGGCTTGGGGGTTTAGGGTTTTTTGGGGTTTAGGGTTTAGGGCTTAGGGCTTAGGGTTTTGGGCTCAGGGTTTTGGGCTTAGGGTATAGCGTTCAGGGCTGCTGTTGCTTTAAGGCTATAAGGGTCAATAAGGGTACGATAGGGGCACGAAAAGCTTGCTGTAAGGGTACCATAAGGGTTACTACAGAAGGGCAGCCTAAACCCTAAACCCCTAAACCCTAAACCCTAAACCTATAGTATTTGTTTACAAGGTTTGTGGGTTTAGGGCTGAGGGGTTTAGGGTTTGTAAGGGAATGCAGGTTTCAGGCTTTGAACTCGAGGTTGAGTTCGGCCTTGTTTCTTTGGTTTGTGTCTTAGGGGTCTAGGGTTCAGGGGTTTAGGGTTTAGGACTTAGGGTTTAGGGTTCAGGACTTTGGGTTTAGGGTTTGAGGGTCTAAGGCAACCCTAAACCCCAGACCCTCGGGTTCAGCGCCCGTAAACCGTGACCCCCGAGCCTTCCCCATCTAGAACAAAAAAGGCACATCTTAAAGCCCTAAAGCCATGAACCCGACCCTAAACCCTAAACCCTAAACCCTAAACCCCTAAGCCCTAAACCCTAAACGGCCGTCAACCCTCCAATCCCGCTGTTTCAGCCCCGATATATGCAGAGGCCTGACCTGTCCATCGTACCGATATGGTAGTTTCAGAAAACTAGGGGACCCTAATATTGGGGTCCTTATAGTAAGGATCCTAGTATTTAGGGTCCTATATCAGGGTCCCCTAATTTTCTGAAACTCCCTAATATCGTTGTGGATAACTAGCAATACCGACAAAGTAGAAGTTCAGATCTAACATCTACATCACCACACTTTCCCGAGTATTGAGGACCGTGTATGAATCCCTAAACCTTAAGTTATAGAGGTGGAATGGAGTCTTTTCAGGAACCATACTGACATCATTAAAGCACCCAGATCAGTCTTTTGGAGGAGAATGGCAAGGCGCCCGTCTTTGTGCAGATGCTCCGGCCACAGGAGGGTCAGGCGAATGTGCTTTGCGGTGCTGCAAAAGGAGTTCGACAATGGTTCCATAAGGGTTTGGGCTTAGGGTTCAGAGTTTAGTTTTGGGGTTTGGGGGTGAGGGTTCAGGGTGTTGCGCGCATCTGCGGCTTGGAATTGCCGGGTTGCAGGGATCTTTGGACGTAGGGCTTCTGCATTGGCTTGTTCGACTTTGTTTGACATTTCTGGTTTTGACTGTCGGAAAGCTCATACAGGTTCGAGACATAGACACTTCAGAAAGCTATTTGCAACAACTGCATATTGACGCATACCGACGAAATAGTAGGGTCCTTGTTGGACCCTGAAAGGTCCCCTTACAATTTCGGTTAGCACCGCATTATGATGCAACCATGCAACCTGCTGCAAGGGGACGGGCGTATCGCTTATGACGAGGGCGTTTTGATTGATGAGGGTCTACATTCAATACGATCCGGCATCTTTGCACACAGCTTCCGCCAGAAATCCTCGATCACATGACCACGTCGATGAGTATTCCGTACTTCGTCAGACCGCACCCATCGTTCATTACGATGGGGATTCAAGTTGCTCGGATAAGATCATGCAGACACGCTGTGACTGTGAAAGGACTCTCCGCGACCCTGAACCCTCAATTCTGAATTCTCAGGCCTAGACCTTAAACCCAAATTCCTACACCGAAAAGGAGCCCTAAGGGGCCTGATTCCTAAACCCTAAATCCCGACCTAGACCCAAGCCATCCGAGCCACAGGTGCACTTCCTTTACTTTTGGAAGGCTTTCGGGGAGGCGGCCCGCATTGCTGGGGCTCTGGCCATTGAGCACGACAGCCTGTCGGTGGAGCTCCTCGGAAACTTATATGTTGAACAAAAGGGTGCTATAAAGGTTACTATACGGTTCCTGTGAGGCTGAAAAGAAGATGCAACTCTATTTACTTTGAGGTTAAGCTTCAGGCTTTGGGGGAGGTCCTCTTAAAGACGCAAACGTGAACACCCTAAGCTTCTACAGTCGTAATCTCGGAATGCCCCTTCAAGCCCGAGCTCCTCAACCTGACAGCTCGTTCCAATAAGCGTCCGAAACCCTACTGCTTGTACTCCTACAACAACGACGACGGCGGCTACTAGTACAAGTACTACTGACTACTGACTGCTATTGCTACCACTACCACTACTACCTACCACCTACTACTACTACTAC